ATACTTAATTCAAGACTTTGCATGCACTTTTGTGTCTTCTTTAACGTTTTTCTGGTTGCTTCTTTTCAATTCATAGATGACACAAACATTTGCCTATTTGTCAATTTTGTTACTTTTGTTTCCATCTCTTTCTAAAGAAGCTGCTTCCTTTAACACAATAAAAATATTACAATATACTAGTTAATAAACATTTTTCCTTGAACTTGAAAGCCAGGATATGAATTGAGTTTTCTACCTTCTCATCTAAATTTGACTTAATGGTACATCTTAGATGGTTAATTTTATTTCATTCAAGTGCGAGCTGAGTGTCGCGCCCCAAATTTAAATGAAAGGAAAAGTGTAAGAAAAATGAGTTTTTTTTTTATTTTAGAAAATAAAGATGTGTACCTTAAAAAATGCGACGGTTTGGGCTCAAAACTTAGTCTAAAAGGGTTTTTAAGAAAATAGAAATTGCCACTTGGTATCGAATTTAAGTGTACCAAATCACCCAAAAATGTTTTTAACAAAAATAAAACAAAATAAAAATAAAACACTTTTCACAATTCCAAATATTTGAAAAACAATAGGAAATGAGTTCGAGAATCACGGTTGAAGCAAAGAAAGGCAAATGTTCGATTGATTCAAAGTTAAGGCACCCTTTCAACCTAGTCTAAACTAATTGCAAGATTTAGTCAAAATTTTTTTAATTTAACCTTTAAATTTATCACATTTGAATGCTTCCTATATAAATGCAAACCTAAACTTAAAAGAGGATATCGAAAGGGATAAAATGTCCATTCAAGATCTAATTGGTATCAATCGTATTAATTGCATAGTCCAAATTAATCCATTGAAAAGATCACGAATATGCAAAGATGAAATTTGAAAAAAGAAAATTAAATTATATACAAAAGTATAAGTGACCAAAGAAAATGGAATGCAACATGATGGGTACGGAGAACTAAAATTTGTGACTCGATCTTTCTACTTATAGAGAGGAATATGAGCATGTTAGGGCTAAAAAAAATCATACTCGTCTATTTCCCTTATTCGAAGGGTGATTCTTCTAACTTATGCAAGCAAATGAACTAACATATTCCCTAATTACTTAAATAAAATACAAGTCTAAATAACATGGTTTGCACATGTAGGGATAAGGGATTAATATAGAGGATATATCATGCAAATCGTAATAACCTAAAAATGAAAAAAATGCATAAAATACAATAAATGTCATATAAAGTATGAATCTATCATGTAAACGGTCTAAAGGGTTTAACATTGGACTAACCCAATTCTATAAGTTATCACTAGCGTTGGACTAGAGAGAAATCGGGAGAAAAGTCACAACTAGTATTGGACTAGTGTGGTAATGTCATGTATTCATTATAAATAAATAAATAAAGCATATAAAGTATAAATAAAACAAATAAATAAATAAAACATATAGAGCACATAACACATAAAATATAATATCTAAAAACAAAAACCCTAAGAAAGCGAAAGAACGTATAACCACACAAGTATGCAAGCAAATAAAAACCTAACCATTACATTTGAGAGTCCTAACTACAATCTAAAAGGAGAGTTTTGACAATAATAAATCTATCTATTACATTTATCTAACTAATTACATGTTTTGCAAACAACAAAAATTAGTTGTTACATTGCCTATCTAATTGCATTTCTTGCACAAGAGGGTACGATCTATCTATTACAATTTGGCATTTAAATGCCTTTCAAATAAACATTGAAATTAAATAATAAATAAAATCTAAGAATGGATGAAATGAGTAAATAAAAATACATAAAACATACAATCACACATAAAAAACACATAGGAGCACATAAAAAGAGTTTAAAGAATAATAGAGGGTACCTTTTTTGAAATAGTGGTTAAATGAGATAGAGTTTGCCTTATTTTACTCCAAAACCAACAAAATGATCAAGGCACCAATTTAATTTATAACACTTTAAAAGAAAATGTAAACATATAGCAAATTCACCTTATTATTTTTTAAAAAATATGAATAAATATAAAAATCCCTAACATTTACAAATTAGATGCATTTAAATGAAGCATGATTAACAATTAAAAAAAGATAAACAATTGTACTTAAGAAAACAAAAACCATTAGGGACTAAATTTCAAAAATTAGAAGGTTTTCAAGATCAAAAAATATTTTAAAAAAATTAGGGGTCAAAATCAAGTAAAAATAAAGTTTAGGGACCAACATGTAATTAAATTAAGGACTTAAGTGAAATAAATTCAAAATTTAGGGTTATAATAAAATTATTTGAAAGATCAGGGGCCAAATTGCAAAATTCATTTCTGATTTGCCAAAATTGCATACAAAAACCTTGTTGGGCCATTTTAGGGTAATTGTGCTGCACCACCTTGGCCCGAGAAAATTAAACCAAATTGTATCATTAAGGAAAATATCCCGACCCGACTTATTCTACCAAAAACTTAACAAAAGTATTGGGATTGAATTTTGTAGCCCAACCATAAACTTAAGCAAAAAAATAAACATTAGCCATTTCTTAGCCCACAAACATAAATAACCTCAACTCAACTAGTTTTGACACAACAAACAAAACAAAGAAAAATGAGAAAAACAAAAGCAGAAAGAGGATGAAGATTTCGACGGGTCAGCCCGTCGGGATCTGAAAAAATTTCGACCATAAATCTCGTTGGAAGTTATTTTTAAGGGGGTTTAAGGTCGGATTTTGATATAAACATGCTCTTCACAGTCTCATGAGTTCATTTAAATATCAAACAAACCCATGAAACACCACAAATCATGAGAAGAATGAGATCTAAGACTTAAACCTACGGAAACACATGTAATGGTTTAAAATCACATGCACAACATTAAATCAACCAAGGAAGGATGCCATAGTTACCCAGGGATGATGTTGAACTCAAGTAGACATGGGAAATCGCAAGAAAACACACCCACCTTCTTGGATCGAAGCAAACTCGACCCAACTACAGAAATTCAAGTGCTGATGAACTGTCAACTTCGTGCTTGAATTCGAGGGATCTAGAGGCATTTTTTCAGGAAATTTTCAAAATGAAAGTTGCTCCCCTACAATCGTAGATGGTACATTAACAAAGATCTCGCTCAATAGACTTCGGATGAAGTCCAAAACCGAGACAAACAGCGCTGGTTCGTCAGCCCTGTTTTGATGTTTTTCTTCTTTTTTTTTTTTTTAAGAAAAAAATCTCTTGTTTTTCTCCTTTTTCTCTCCCCTATGCTTAGCCGACTTTCCTAACCATCTCCCTCTCTCTAAAAGCTGCATTATTTTCTATTTATAAGGGACAAAACCCTAAAATCTAAGATGAATGGTTGGGATAAAAAAGAAAATGGGTTTATGTGGCTGTTTTTGATCCATTTGACTGTTTTGCCAGCTGTTTCTTGGTAGGTTTTTGGATGGTTGCATCAAAAAAATTCCAGCTATTTTTTTGGGCACTGTGGTTTCGTTGTTGCAAATTCAGGTGAAGAAACCTGTGTGTGTGCGTCGGATGAAGAAGATTTTTTTTTTTTTAAAACGAAGCTGGGCCAAATGGGCCTCCTCTTATTTTATATCTTCAGGCTTTTTGGTGGGTTTGGTTTGTGCTTTTGAGTGGATTTTGTTCGAATTTTTTTGTATGGATTTTAGTGATTTTTTTTTCTTTTGGATTGGGCTAAAAATGAAGAATATTTTAAAATTCCATTTCTTCCTTTTCCTATAAAATAACATAAAATAAAAATGATTACTTAATCAATAATATAAAAATAAAGATACAATAAAAATTAGCAAATTTTTTTATCAATAATATAAAAATAAAGATACAATAAAAATTAGCAAATTTTTTTGAAAAAAATTTGGTGTCTACACTGAGAATTTAGATCAAATGGCAAAAAAAAAGAAAGAAGTCAAATGGCAAGTGAAGTGGTACGAATTCCTCTCTCTTGCTAATTGAATATTAGATCTTGACTGAAATGACATCTCTAAAGCGTATGTCACACATTTATTTGATCTTGTACATTGTTAGGCCTTGAATATATCTGTCTATCTACCTATATCTATCAATCTATTTGTATCTATATGTCTATTTATAGCCATCTGTACTCCCTATAAATGTATCATGAGTATGGAAGTGCAAGTAATATAAGTAGAAATTTTTGTAGTTTGTACTACCTAAACTATTATCCATAAAAATAGTTGTAACGCATTTCAATAATGATGAAGGAATGAATATAAATCACGTTAATTAACTGTCACAAAAGTTGTTTGTAACTGAAATAATACAATGAAACAATTAAAATTCATCATTAAGAGCATGCCAAAAAAAAAAAAAAACGCTCAAACTGAAAGTAAAAAACTCCCTAAAACTAAAAACCAATAATTAAAGAGCAAATTACATTTTATCCCCCAGTGGTACAGATAATTGTCACATAACCCCCTATATTTTTAAAAACTATATATAATTCCTTCATAGTTTGAATTAAAGTGTCAAAGTGGCGGAAATGATCATCCGTAACAGAACTTATTAAAATGTCAAAATTACCGTTGTTTAAAATTAAAATGATTGAAATGACCAAAATATATAAACATAATATGCATGACACTTTAACTCCATATGATTTTATATTTTACCATATAACCTTGTTATGATTTAGTGTTTTATCATATAACTCTCTTATGATTTTTAATACATCTATATAATCCCTCTGTGGTTAATAAATAATTTTTAACTTTATATGGGGGAATTTTTGACATTTTAGTTAATTTCGTTATGAATTGCAAATTCTGTTACTTTGATACTTTAATCCAAATCATGAGTGCGTTATATATAGTTTTGGAACATGTAAACAAACACTAAACCAAAAGAGGGTAAATGATACAAAGTGGACAAACAAATTAGTTAAAAAGCTGAAAAGGACAACTCGAACGACACCAAAGAAGGAAAAAATGGTAAACTTAACTAAATTGGAATATGGAATACAATAGACAAAATAAGATACTCCAATCCAATTTGTCTCTTTACATTCCGTCATCAATTTCCTAACAGTTTGTGCTGCTTGGAGAGCTGAAATGATGATGAGCATTCATTGGCTATGGGCAACTCTAGCCTTGGCTGGACTTTGCTATTTTCTTCCTCAGTATTTTCTAGGGATGCAAAGTGCGGCCAAGGCTAGAGTTGTATCTTCTTCCTCAGTATTTTCTTCCTCAGTATCTGAGATGTATCTTTAAGTCAAATTTAGCAAAGTGCGGAAGAACCCTCATCCCTCATCTACTGAGGAAGAACCCTCATCCCTAGCCTTGGCCGCACTTTGTGGCCATCATGATGGAAATTATTCAGTCTGGAACGTCTGAGTTCGAATTTGACCGTCGTCATGTCAAAGCTGTTTTGTTTGTAAGTGGGTTGCTCTAAATTCTTATCTGCTAAATTATTGTTCACATACATAGCTGGTAATAGCTGGTTATTTTAACCTTGTTGAATTTTGTCTTTATTGTTTCAACAAAACTTTCAGCTTGTCATAATCTCTGGACTAATAAAATTTCAAGAAATAGTTATTTGCTGAATTATTGTGCTATTGCTCTTAACTCTTCAGAACAGCAGTGCTGGTTTTACTTTCATTGGTGTTGATCATTTCTTTATTGTTGTCTGCTGATAAAGGGTTCGTTTCCATGCCTATATCAAATGATTGCAGTCTCTGTGACAATTATCTTCATTTTTCTTACTCATTCATTTATTAACCTCATCAAAACAGGAGGATATGCTTGTAGCCTCGATGGGCACTTCAGTGACAGCAGTTGAATGGGGCATCTTAGAACTCCTTAGACATCCAACGGCCATGAGGAAACTCCAAAAAAAAACTGGAAGAGAAAGTCGGGTTGGAGAGGATTGTTGAGGAATCAGATCTTGAGGGCCTGGAGTATTTGGACATGGTTGTCAAAGAATCAATGAGGCTTCATCCTGTCGGACCACTAATGCTCCCCCACGAGTCAATTCAAGATTGCACAGTTGATGACTTCCATATTCAGAAAAAATCGCGAATCATGTATATGCAATTGGCCGTGATCCAAATGTCTGGCCTGATCCGGAGGCCTTCATCCCCGAAAGATTCAAGGATAGCGATATAGACCTTCGCGGACAAGATTTCAGACTTGTACCATTTGGCTCAGGCAGAAGAATTAGCCCAGGTTTGCAGTTGGGGCTCACTGTTGTGCGTTTTGTGCTAGCACAGTTGGTGCATTGTTTCAATTGGGAACTTGCAGATAACATTCAGCCAATCGGTTTGGATATGTCTGAGGCTTTGGTTTGGTAACTTCAAGGGCTAAGCATTCAAAGGTAGTGCCTGCTTACCGATTGCACAAATGAATAAAGATTGTGGACTCCAATTCTAGTTCAGGAACTGTAAAAGTAGATTTAATTTTTTTTTTTTTTTGTTAATTCGATTATCCAGTTACATTATGGAAAGGTATTCATTTGTTTGTTTTTTAATCAACAACTTGCCCAAATATTAAGTTGGATAAGATCCAGAGAAAATTAGCTAAAGCCCTTTTAAAGTTTTTGATAGGTATGATTGGTTGTCGAATAACCGATTCGGGTTTACAAATTGAATTCTGTCTGGTTCAAACCCTGTTTGTATAATTCTTATTATATTTTGTATAAACTCATATAGCAATGGTGTAAAATTAGTTGTATGAGTTGATAAATTTAAATTTATATCAAAATTATACAAATTTATTCCAAAAGTTGGAAGAATTGTATCAATTAGTTGGACAAAACTGAACTCGTGAGAGCAGTTTCCATCTAATGACATTTTAGACTTGGAGGGACAAATTCTTGGTCTTGCAATGATTCTTGTCCTTGATGCCTAACAAAGTTAGCAGTGATAGAATTTTAAAATGGAACTACCATCATATTGGATAGAGTATTATTTAAAATTAGCGGTGATGCCTAACGAAGTTAGCAGTGATAGAATACTTGTTCTCTGTTTGGATAGAGTATTATTTGAAATAATTAGTGTAGTACTTTTGTGATATGATATATGTGAAATAAAAATGTGGGTTGAAAAATATTTTTATGATACAAACAAAATATTATTTAAAAAAATTTGATATCCAAACTATTAGAATACCACTACCACTTTATTTGTCTAAAAAAGGGGAAAAAACATGGTTGATTTCTTTATCTTTGTAATCAATAGATCAATAGAGACATATGCAATGACGTAATCCATAAAAAATGAGAGAAATGGCAAACTATGTCACATGTAACTAAATCAGCCTAGCTACGATGACAGAAATGGCAAACTAACATGTAACTATTTCAGTCCAACTGAGTTGGCTACCAAGAAGAGACTTAAAACTCTCATTAATGAATGTAGGATAAGAGATTAAATTTCTTAACTTGCATTCTTCTCCTAGTTTTTGAAAGTTTTATAAGTGGATGCATAGCTATTCATTTAGTCTGGTGGTGATTCAATCTCCTTATGATTCTTCATTGACCATTTTAAATATGTCCGTTACCTATAATGTAGAATAGAAATTACCGTTTCGGCAAAAAAAACAAAAGGACAAACTATCAGAATTGTGACAGTTGACGGGTTGCAATCAGCCACAATGTCACCACATTCTGTTCGGACGGCTAGAGTTGAAAAATCTACAAGCTCATCTGCAATTTATTCATACATAATCCTTATAAGGCCAGATCGCAAGAATTATCAATTTTTCTCTATGACAACAGTCTGCAAAAATTTGAAAAAATGGAAAAAAAAATTTACGGCAAGGTTTTGGACCATTTTCAATGTATGATCACAATGGAATGTAGCACAATAAAATATCACATAAGTGGTCTGGTCTTGGAATTGAGTCACCAGACTACTTGACAAATTTGTGAATTGAATTGAAGTGGTGTAAATTCTACTTTAATAAGTAGCGGTTCAAATTGAACAGCATCAAACTTCAAGAATTTCTTTTTATTCTTATTTTTTTATATTTGTGAAAAAAAATTTGCACGACCCAATTGACCATATCATCGAAATCAGTTCGATGTCACTTCCCTTGAACGCGCGGGGTTGACATCAACACAACTTGCCCAAAAAATATCTGCAAAAGCACCAGAGAAGGCGGCTGTATCTGGTATGGAGATTGATATTTGATACCCTTTACCTCAGGGAGTGTATATAAGAAAATCATATATTAATTAAGCGACGCACGATTAGCAATAGAGATAAGTTAAAAGATAGTTCAGCTCGTTGATTTTAGAGATTTCATATTCTTGTCTATCTGCTTAGAAATGTTGTAATTTCCATTCACAACCGTCAGATTATCGCCCTTTACACATAGCTATCCAATACTACTACTAGACATAAATAGCTGCTGTGAGGCCTATTCTTAGATCAGAAAAAGAAGCACTAGAATACCATTAAGCAAACTGAGAAAGATGATGAGCATTCATTGGCTATCGACAGCTCTAGCCTTGGCTGCAGTCTGGTTTTTCCTTCAAGACTTGTTCTTGATGAAGAAGAAAAAGAGATTTCCTCCAGGTCCAAAAGGGCTTCCTGTTATAGGAAATCTGCATCTGTTAGGCAAGAATCCTCACCATGATTTGGCAAAACTAGCCAAAAAACATGGCCCTTTAATGTACATGCGATTCGGTTATGTCCCAGCAATTATTGCCTCATCCCCTGAAGCAGCTGAAAAGTTTCTCAAGACTTACGATCAGGTTTTTGCTAGTAGGCCTTATCATGAAGCTTCTTGGTACGTTAGTTATGAGCAGAGGAACTTGACGTTCGGCCAATATGGACCGTATTGGCGAAACATGCGTAAGCTTTGCATTCTGCAGCTGCTCAGTAGCCACAAAATCAATTCATTTCTGCCGATGAGAAGAGAAGAGGTTGGAACATTGGTTAAATCACTCAAACAGGCTGCCTCAGATGGTGCTGCTGTTGACCTTAGTGCAGCAATTTCTTCCTTGGGTGCAAATATGAGTTGCTTGATGATATTTGGGAAGAAATATATGGACAAGGATTTTGATGATAGGGGGTTTAGAGATGTTATTCAAGAAGGACTTCATGTTGCGGCCATGCCAAACCTCGGTGACTACTTTCCTCTACTTGGTGTGCTTGACCTTCAGGGACTTACTCGCCGGTTTAAGGATCTTGCCAAGGTGTTTGATAAATTTTTTGAGAAAATCATTGATGAGCATCTACAGTCTCAGGAGCACAAGCAAACCAAGGACTTTGTAGACATCATGATGGGAATTATGCAATCTGGAGAAGCTGAGTTTGAGTTCGACCGTAGTCATGTCAAAGCCATCTTGTTGGTATGTTTTATACCGTTTCTGGTTTGCTGGATTATTGTTCATATACGTTGCTGACAGCACCAGATTTTTGTATTGCTTGTTGAATTTGTTATTAGCTTTTTCAACAAAATTTTCGGTTAGTTATAACTTCTGGACTAAACAAATTCAAATAACTAAACTTTGCACCGTAAAACATGATCTGGAATTCTGTGCTCTTACTTTCTTCAAAATAATACCAGCGTTATTTTCTGAGGTTCGCCTTTGTTTGTCTGTTGAGAAAGGGATTGTTTCATAGCTAAATCAAATAATTGCAATCCTTGCAACAAATGAAGACAAATTTGACGCCTATTTTGATCTTGACATTATGCCTAACTCTGCCAATTCCTTACCTCAACTACACAGGATTTGCTTGTAGCCTCAATGGACACCTCAGTCACGGCAGTTGAATGGGCGATCTCAGAACTCCTCAGGCATCCTGAGGCAATGAGGAAACTCCAGAAAGAATTGGAAGAAAAAGTCGGATTGGAGAGGATTGTAGAGGAATCAGACATTGAAGGCCTAGAATATTTGGACATGGTTATCAAAGAATCCATGAGGCTTCATCCTGTGGCCCCACTGTTGCTCCCCCATGAGTCAATGGAAGATTGCACAGTTGATGACTTCCACATTCAGAAAAAAACGCGGATCATCATAAACATATACACAATCGGACGCGATCCAAATGTCTGGCCTGATCCTGAGACCTTCAACCCTGAAAGATTCAAAGATAGCAATATAGACCTTCGGGGCCAAGATTTTCGACTCATACCATTTGGCTCAGGCAGAAGAAGTTGCCCTGGTTTACAGTTGGGGGTCCTCCTTGTTCGTTTTGTGCTGGCACAGTTGGTGCATTGCTTCAATTGGGAACTTGCAGATAACATTCAGCCAACTGATTTGGATATGTCTGAGGCTTTTGGTTTAGTAACCTCAAGAGCAAAGCATTTAAAGGTTGTGCCTACTTGCCGATTACAAAAATGAGTAAAGAGGGTGGACTCAACTTTTATCTATCTCTGTCTAGGTCTATACTCTCTTTAGAAGTATCACCAATTTTATTTGATTAAGTGTAAGCAAAATTTGGTTTTTGTTTCGTTGATGCTTAAGTTTCCCTCTAAACAATAATTACATACATTGCATTGGATTTGAATAGTAATGATATAATCAACGCTAAATTCTATATAATCCCCCTGTAGTTTTGTATATAAAATGCCAGATGACCCTCCTAAGGTTTCAAAATAGCCACATAATTCCCTTGGGGGTTTATGTAAAGTGGAAAGTAAACGGAATGCATAATTAGTTATTCCGATTAAACCACACGTGCTTTAAAACTGTGTGTGATGAAATCTTAATAACCACTTAAATCCTTATGGTTTGCATCTGTGAATTTTGCATTTATCCACATCATCCCATTATGATTTTGTATAAGGTGGTTAAGTTGTCATTTGATTGAGCATTTAAGTAACGGCACCACTGGTATTTCAACTAATGACGTTACATAAGTTTTTTTTTTTTTTTTTTCTAAATTTCCAAGTTTGCATGAAACCATATAGGATAATGTGGATATTTTGAAACGTTAAGAAATTATGTGGCAATAGATGAAACCACAAGGGAACTAATAGTAATTTGCGCTATAATCAATCAATCAATATCAATCATGTTAACCATTAGAAAAATGAAGGCTACAATATACTTATAATTGAGCTAGCGCTATGGAGCATTTATAACCCATCATTAATAGAAAAAAATAAACTGAAAGAAAAGTCACTATATAAAAATCATAAAATGACATAAAGGACAACAAGAAGTTAATCACAAAATTGAAAAATTCAAATCAAATGACATAAAAAAGAAAATATTTAGGTTACTCAAATCCCATGGAAAGACAAAAAACGTTTGATGCAGATACCAAAACAATACAGTATAAAAAGAAAAGGTGCTCTCAATAGTGAATATAAGCTAAATTTTCCATTCAATTGTCAATTCTACTTTAAACATTGTATTGGTATATAAGTGCAGTACTATCAACATTTGATGTTTTAGAGTTAAAGTGACAAAATATCTAAACAGTTCAGGAAAAAAAAGTTTTGAAAAGGTTCATCTATGATTATACTTTTAAATAATGTTTTGAAAAATAATTGGTTAAAGAAAATAAAA